AGAACTTAGGGAGTTTGATTGATTAAATATACTGTTGAATTAAGAATTTTTCCACAATAAGATAATGTCATATGTGTCTCAATCAATGAAACACAAATAATTTTTAACAAATGTCAATTTTTTTTCTCTCAATAAACTCATCTTGATGATGTTTATTAAGACAAGAAGTTTGATAATAATTTCATTGATTTCTAAATATTATTGGAGTTCATAATTTGTATATTCTCTTATCACTACATAAAACTTGAATTTTAAATATTATATTGAGTTCTTACAATTTTATTAAAAAATTAAAATAATAAACTTACCTCATTATTTTTAATAATTTATCTCATTTATTTTATTTTATTGACTACGATAAAGTCATTCTTGGACAATCATCAATAAAAATAACAAATCAATAAGATTCATCTAAAGTTTTGATTTTAGATGAACCTCATAATCAAAATATATTATCATTAAAGATTGAGAAGTTTTATTTAAAATTAATAGAAATAAAGTTTTGTAACTATTTACTAGTTCATAAATATTACAATTAAAATAAAAACACGATATTTCTTAAATAAATTAAAAAATTATTTTTTTAAATACCCAAATGAAACACGACTAAGATGTCGATTTCATAACCAAATTTCAAATATGTTATTTTTCTCTTAAAATTATCGATTATTAGAACTTATTGTGACTTATCAAGTTTTTGATAGATTTAGGTAATATAAGTTTATATTTGTATAGTAACCAAATGATTGTTTTCTTTTTATGTATTTAAAAATATAATAATCAGGACAAGAAATTATTGTACAGAGTAAAGTAAGTATTTGAGAAATAAATAAAAGATTAAAATATAAAGAAAAAACAATGAAGATAGAATCAAGATTTAAAGTATTAGCTAGTAAGATTTTAAAATCATTCTTGAATAATTTAGACTTAATTTTTATTTATAGTGGAAATATATTTTTATTTTTGTGTAAATTATTTAATTTTGGTGACTTTTTTAGGATTAAATGTCATATAATTTATAGTTTCAAAATTAATAATTCATATATCATTAAAAATATTAATAATTTTATCACGATGATTCATATTTATTTATAATGCAAATACCTTTTCATTTTGTTTGACAATGAATATCATGTGTTTCAATTTTGACATTTATGTTTCCTTCTTGCCATCAATACATATTTTTAAAAGAGGATTAACATCTCCTTGAGTTTAAACAACAAAATAAACTAATTTTATCTTAAATATATTAAATTTATATTTTTCCCATTTAAAAGTTTCAAAGGATTCAAGATGTAAAGAATCATCATAGCTCTAATACCAATTTAAAAAAATATAAATTAAAATATATTTATTCTTTGATATAAAATAGAAAATGTAAAATCTTTTTATAAAATATAAAATTGTGCCAAAACATATTACTAAGAAATTATAATATTTTATAATTATATCAATCTTAATTAAATAATATATAATATATACAATAATATTTTGTAAAAAAAATAAATTTCAACAAATAGTATTTATACATCATTAAATAAAATATATAATTTTTTAATGTAATTATCATTAATATTTTTATTTTTTACAAAAATTTTATTTTTGAATACTTTTAATATAGAAAAAGCTCACTTAATTTCTTAATCCATAAAGGAAAATATGTTGGTCATGCAATACTAATAAATTAATACAATATTTTATTTTAATGATAAAAACATGAAAAAAAAACTTGAAAAAAATATATATTTTTTGAAATAATAATTTAAACTTCTTTATTTTATTAAAAGAAGAAAACGTCAAAAATATTTATTCTAATAATTTCTTAAATTGACATTTCTGCACCTAAAAAATTAAAAATGCTCTAATTTCACTATACAAATAATTTTGCGCGTGTTAAATTAATTATTAAGATCAATTTATATATTATTATTATTATTATTATTATTATTATTATTATTATTTTCGAATATAAATATATATGACTAGAATTTTGCGTTCATTCCAATCTAGTAATAAAAAAAAATTAACGAAAATGAATACATACCATCTAACATGTAGATAGAAAACCAAAAGAAATATTATATCCGGAATTAATCTCATAATTTTTAGATATTTTATTTTTATTGATTAATAGACATTTATATAACAATTTAATTAATAGTTTTGATAAATTTATTTTATTTGTTTCTAAATTAAAAAGATTAATATTTACTCTTCGGAGATATTAAGAAAATATACATATGTCATATAAAATGTAATTAATAAATTATTTGAATATTTTTCTGATTTTTTTATGTTATTTTTTTATGATTTTGTACATTTTATTCATATATTTGTAATATTTTTACCAGTAACTGTAGTACTTTGTATATATTATGAACTATATATACTCAATTAATTATTATTCAATGTGATCAGTTGTAAGTAAAGTTAAATTTTGATTTCAACTTAAATATAAGATGATTGGAATTAAAGATCGACTTATATTGTTTATTTTCAGACCCTAATTTATATAAAATATGATACATGTAATTTGTTTTTAAATCCGATATCTAAAAAATACTTATAACATGGAAGATATAAGAAAATTACTAAGAAAATTTAGAATACAAATTTCACTGAACCATGACTAAAAATACAAGATTCACAATAAATAAAAAAATATATTCTTAAATTTATAGATTTGATAAAAATCAAATAAAAGATAAGATTAGCGTTTTAGCTTTTAAATTTATTGACTTTTTATTAAAGGATATATTAGTATTGTTATTTTATTTTTCTTTTATAAATTCACTATTTAGATAAATAATAATAATATTTTTTTATTTATAGCATATTATTATTAGTAATATTCACGTGACTGTGTCAGTAGAAATTAACGTGACTGTGTCTGTCGAAATTCACGTGATTGCATCCAATACACATTATATTAACAATATAATACACCTATACCCGTATCGTTTAAGTGCATATATCCCCATCTCAGTTACGTTACAATGTGCAGTGATATTTGGACGTTTTAGTAGGATGTTTAACCATTCATTGTAATAATGTATTAAAATTTCTAATACATTTTCTTCCTCTATCCAATTAAATTGTCAGTTCAGAACGAGTGATGTTTCAAAGAAAAAAAGACAATATTAATTTAATCATTTTGTCATTTATATAAGTAAAAATCAAGATGGAGAATAGTGTAAAAAATAAACTTTGACAGCTCATTGTTTTAATTCTTTAGTCACAATTCAATACACACTATTGTAAAAATATGATTCTATGACGATTTTTTATTACGGTTATAAATTTTATGACGATTTTTTATTACGGTTATATACGATTTTATGACGATTTTTTATTACGGTTGTAATTTACCCGTCATAATATATAGGGCGGTGGCATTTTTGTAATAATATTATGAACTTTTTATATCGGTTGTTATGTAACCGACATGGTATGTGGACAAATTCACTTTTTATGTCGATTAAATTTGAATCGATATAGAAAGTGAACTTTTTATGTCGGTTAAAATTTAACCGACATAAAAAGTGTATATTAAATAAAAAAATTAAATATATAAGTATTTATATATCAAAATATATAAATATATTTATATTTATATATTTTGTATATAAATATAATTTATTTGTAAGTTATGTATCGAAATTCGTAGTAGTTTAGTGGTTGGAGTATCGGTCTCCAACTCTAATGTACTTGGTTTCGAATTTTGTCGATGGCAAATCTCTTAAATAGATAATAAAATAATATATTATAAAGTATAATAAAAATATAAATAAAAATTGTACTAGTGTATAGTGGTTGAATTTTGTCAGTGACAAATATCTTAAATAGATAATAAAATAATATATTATAAAGTATAATAAAAATATAAATAAAAATTGTACTAGTTTATAGTGGTTGGTCTAATTCTAGACTCTAATGTACTGGGTTCGAATCCTATCGGTGACAATTTTCATAAAAAGCCCATTACTTTCTATGTCGGTTTATAATAATCGACATAAGAAGTCATACTTTTTATGACCCTTGTATTTATATCGCCTCTTTAACCGATGTAAAAAGCTCATTTTAACCGAGATAAAAAACCTTTTTTTCACTAGGGACAACTATTCATTCATAATAATAAAAAATATTGTACTAAATCATAATTCTTACCTGTACATTGTTAACAGATCATAGTTTTTGTTAATCTTAAAATCATTTTTAGGCATGAATAAAATTACCACAAAAAATTGGAGCTGAATCATATTTGTTAATGGCTTGGTTGTGCATTACAATTTTTTCTGTATGTTTTTCTAAAAATATCAATTCATTGCAAGAGTATGAAGAGTAACAAAAAAATATGTAATCAGATAAAGTTTCTGGTCAAGAATTGATCCATGTATTTCCTTGTTATAAAAAAAAGGTATAACTTGACCCAATAGATCATTGCACTGATTTTTTTTGTCTGCATACCAAATATTTACAAGTAAAAATTTAATATACTCTTTGTAAGAAGAGTGATGCTTGTTTAAGTAACCAGAGACGTGGTTTGTGTATGATGAAATTTTTTTATAATAAAATATACTATTAAAATAATAATGAACAGTTTGATAAGGTTTGTTTATTGTAACAAGACTGAAGAGGATGAGAAATGTATTGGGATGTTAAGAGTAGATAAATATTACAGGGAAAGAAAACGGTAGAGAATTTTTTAGAATGGTCCTTATGTGTCATTCACGTATATAAAGTGAGGCATGGACATCTGATATGGCAAACAAAAGCGTACTCGGTTCTAAAAACGGCACCGTGTGAGGAAAGATAGTTGGAGGCTATAAATAAGGGTGGTCTGGGTTTGAAAGTTCCCGCAAATATTTGCAAGAGACAAACATCCAGCGCAGCATCCACCACAACCACAGATCACACTTCTCTCCCTTCTCTCACCTTCCAATTCCTACCACAAACACAAACATCCCTCCGCCACCGGCACTGCTAGGGTTCCGGTGAGGATGCTTCCTTACGCTTCCATTTCAGCGGCCGAGGCGGCGCTGGGGCGTAACCTAACCTTCGCCGAGACCGTCTGGTTCAACTACTCCGCCACCAAGTCTAATTACTTCCTCTACTGCCACAACATTCTTTTCCTCTTCGTCATCTTCTCCATTGTCCCCCTCCCTCTCGTCTTCCTTGAACTCAAGCGCCTCTCCTTCCTCAACTCCTACAAGATCCAACCCAAGGTTCACTTGTCTCTTAACGAAATGCTCAGGTGCTACAAAGACGTCCTGGTTATGTTCTTTCTCGTTGTCGGTCCCCTCCAGTTGGCCTCTTATCCTACCATCCAGGTTCCACTCACCCTCACACTCACCGTTACGGTACATCCCATGATTTCTTTATTTGTTAATTAATGTTCTTTTTTATTTAATCCTCAGATGATTGGGATCAGGATGGGGTTGCCATTGCCGTCTGGATGGGAAATCCTGGCGCAACTGCTGGTGTATTTTCTGGTGGAGGATTACACCAATTACTGGATCCATAGGTTTCTTCACAACGGTTGGGGTTACGAGAAGATTCACCGCGTTCACCATGAGTACGCTGCTCCCATTGGATTCGCGGCGCCCTATGCACACTGGGCTGAGATCTTGATCCTCGGGATTCCTTCCTTTCTCGGCCCTGCCATGGTTCCTGGCCACATTATCACCTTCTGGTTGTGGATAGCCTTGCGCCAGATTGAGGCCATTGATACGCACAGCGGGTAGTACTCACTCACTCACCAAAATCTATTTTTGATCTCTAATAGTGCCCTGGTTTTTCTTTGATTGTGATCCCTCATGGGCGCTCGCATCTGTTTCACTTTTTTTTTTCTTTGTTTTATTCTAATCCCTCACAATTTATTTCTTTTTCTAATTACAAGATTGCAAAATTGTTGGGAGGGTCATTTTTCCGCTTTCGATTTGTTTGCATTTTATCTGCACTTTCCACACCAGGAAAGATCCTCTCCATTTCATTTATTTTCTCAAAACCTTAGAAATGGAAAAAATGGAGGGAATCTTGACTTTCTGCAGACGGGCATTCTGTTATATGTTGTTCTCCTTGGTTTCATTAGAAGTGGAAGGAAGCCAAATGCGTTATTTTTTAACCCTGTGTCCTTTTCCCCTACTATCTTTGCAATGAACCCTAAGGTCTCTTTCTGTTACCTTTGACCTATCTACTAAACCCAAACTTATAACCTTCAAGTTTAGCAACACATCTTGTACGGTTGGATTTGGATATGCAAATGCAGCTATATATTATAATCCACCTGTTTAGTACCGGATTTTGTACCATGGGACATGATTATGCAAATGCAATTAAGTACTTGTTTAGTAACGGATCATACATGTATCTACCAAACCTTTCTTATAATCTACATGTTTGTTGGGAAACTTTTGTTTGGTGTCATTAATCTGGCAACCAGAAGTTAAAGTTGAAATTTGCCTTGGAATTTGCTAGTTTTTCTGTTAGTACTTCATAATTTTTTTTTAATCATGCTGAGAAATGGATCTTTCTGGTGTTTGCTGTCTCAACAGTACGCACATCAAGATGTTAGTTGTCCAAGACAAACATTTGGTAACTTCTGCTCAAATATACATGTTCTCAACTACACCAAGAAAGAATATTTTCTGGGTTTTGCTGTCTCAACGATATAGAGAAATAGTACAGGTTAATGCAGTGGGGGTTAAGCTGATTTCTGTGAAGGTTTGGTTTATAGTAGGTCCCAATAATATTAGGACAATGGTAATTTTTGCTGAGATGTAATATCCCTGTGGTGTGTCCAACTTGAATTTCCTAATAACTGTCTATAGGTTTACCTGTAGCCACTCCTTTGTCAAACAACAGCGTACTCCCCTCTTCTCCCTTTCCTTTCTCCCCTTTATGAGAAGTTAACTCATCACTTTTTAGTTGATGCATCATAGTTTTGAGACTTGGCCTTATATGGTATTGTCTACTTTATCATGTTGTCTCAGGTATGACTTTCCCTGGAGTATCACGAAATATATTCCGTTTTATGGTGGCGCTGAGTATCATGATTACCATCATTATGTTGGAAGACAAAGCCATAGCAATTTTGCTTCAGTTTTCACATACTGTGATTACATCTATGGAACTGACAAGGTTCTATCATCATTCCGTAATTATTTTTCTGCATAAATATGTGTATACTCTTTCACATATCATATTGATTTGCTAGGTTCTACTTTTGTTTGTCACAGGGATTTAGGTATCAGAAGAAAATACTTCCGAAGGTAAAATTTATAAAGTTGTCATCGAGAAATGTGACTGTATCTTGTGGCTTTGGTCACAATAACGACACTTTTATTTTGTCCTTTTGACACTAATTTTTTTTTTTTTAGACTTAGTTTATTTGGGTGTACTATATTGCTATGATTGACTTTCATTCCTCTTCTGTTGCTTTGATTTAGTTGAAGGAAGATTCGGGAAATGGTGTGGAGCAGAGCGGAGGATCATACAAGACTCAGCAGAGTAAATCTGACTGAAAGAGACTGAAGTGTCCTCTAGGTGGTTTCAGAATGTGTTGCGTGTTGATTCTTTGAAATCACCAAAACTCATGTAGACATAAATCTGGTGGTGGTAAAATATAGATGTCTTTGGTTAGCATCAGGGTGAAGATTAGTAGAACGGAACTTTACAGTTTGTGATTCTGTGTTAGAAGTGGCGCACGGGAGGACTTTCTTCTATTTTCATGTTCTGGAATTCAAACATTTTGGTTTTGGTTCATGTCAGTGAGAATGTTCCTCCCCTAATGAGTTGTAAATTCAGAAATATGAAATAGGGCTTCTCCTATGGATGTAATTGGAAAATTATAATAATGTTTGGAAATTCGGTTTATGAGCTTAGTAATGATCATATGCAATCCATAAGATGTGCAAGGATGTGTGGTTAGACAACTTAGTGGGATTGGGTTGTGCAATATCTTATAATAGTATTACTGTATGTATGTTTAATTTCAAGTTTAAAGTTTCGAATCCATGAATAAAAGTTGCTCAAAATAGCTCTAATTTGGACGAGTTTAAAGTTCCGAATCTATGAAATAAAAGTTCCTCAAAATGGCTTTAATTTGGACGAGGAAGATGGATCTCATGTTTAATTTCAGTTAACACTGTTTTAGCATGTTTGGATTAACACTTGGTATGTTCGGTAAAGGATAACACTTGGTATGTTCAGTGAAGGACAAAGAAGTTAGACACATATGGGTATAAAAGTTACATGTTAAGAGCTGTGGATGAAGGTGGTGTGTTTAGATAAACAATTTTAAAATCTCAAAAAAATAAATTATGTAACTGAAACTTTAAATTAAATACCAGCTACAATTTTACCTTTTTCTTTAACATAAAATTTAACTCACTCCGATATTTAATTTCTTGAAAAAATTTCACTACAATTGCTAGTTGTTATAATAAGTTAAATGTTATAATAATTAATTTCATTTAATACTAAAAAGACAAATTTTACGGAATATTATCTATTTGTATTATATAATGTGTAACAGAGAGTATATGTATAAATTTTATAAAATAATAATAATAATAAATTTAATCAATATATCATGTATCTAACATTTTTTTAACATAATTTTCATAAAATAACTAAATAGAAAGAGAAATACGAATGCTTTTATTTAATCTTGACCCAAAATGTAATATTTATTTTAAAAAAAAATTGTCTAGGTGATATTTATTAGTTAATGTAATTATGTTAAAGCTAATCATTCTTTTAGATTTTATGCTTAATCATCTGTATTTAATGGGATTTCTGGGAATTTTAGTTGGAAGAATAAGATTGAAAATAGATAAAATGAACTTAATAGAATTTATTTGATAGAAGTTTGTATTAAGAAACTTCTATCAATGTCTTTTTACCTTAATTTTTATCTAATTTATTTTTTAACTGTTTCTTTTTTTCTTTTCTTTTTTTCATTCTTATCCGCCTTAGCTATCTTCCGTAGCAGGGAGGATCTTGAAGATAACAGGAGTCTCTTTCAGAAGGAATAAAAATGTCTTTCCAAATATAATTGAAGGGAATCAACATGTCAGGTAGCTGTTTCTGATATTTGTACTATGCACTGTTTTGCAATACTTTCAATGATAAAAGCAGGATATTTTCATTTACTCACAAAAAAACAAAAACAGCTAAAATAACAATTTCTTTCTACACTTTCATAATATTTTTTTATATTTCCATAAATAAGATAACTAAAACATCCTTTCAATAATTCTAACCTCTTTTTTTATTTTCCAGCCACGTATATTTGATTTCTTTATCACTTCTATTCAAATCATTTTTAACATTTAAATACGAGTAATCGTTATATGTTCTTACCTTGAAATTATACATTGAAATATTGCTTGATTCAAAATAGTTTTGCAAATATCAGATTAAGTTTCATAACCTTTAATCCAGAATATATTTTTGAAATATCTTTTTTATAACATTTATTTTGAAATACATTTCTAAAAAAATAATCTAAAAATATAGTCTATATTGAATGTTCCAAAATACATTTCTAAAAGTCAATTTAAAAATAGATTTTAGACAAATTTCTTAAAAACATGTTTCAAAAATTTGGTTTTGGAATATATTTTTAGAATTAATTTTCCAAAAATACATTTCTAGATTGGGGAGTTTCAGAGTCCACTTTTGAAAATGCAATGAAATATGCAATCCAAAAGTGTATTCTAGATCCACCAATCCAATCCAGAATGTATTTTTAAAAAATTAATTCCAAAAATGTATTATAGAAATCACTTCTATAACATATTTCTAGAAATTTTTTTCTAAGACTGTATTCTCAATGCTAGAATGTGGTTCCACCCAAAATTGTGCCAATACTATACAAGATAAAAACAGTTGATACAAATTAAATCAATTAGAAATTCTTACTTGTTTCTTGCCATTTTTAGAATAATAAGAGAAAAAAAAGGATGAAAATGATTTAATAGAGTTTAAAAATAAGACATTTAAAGGTTTAAAAACCAGAAATATTTTTTTATAAAAATAAGATGGATGTAAAAATAAAATAAGATTTAATTGAATTATAGAGGTATAAGAAATGCCTATACTCATTTGAGAAGGCCACATCTTTTGTGTAACAGGTCCAATTCATAGCTGTGGCCCAAAACCATGCAACATATCCATTGTCAGGTTGACTTTAAAAAATATGTTGACTTTTTGTGTAACATATTGATTTAAAAAAAAATGGAATGGGAGGAATAATATCACTAATATTTACATTAGAATATTATCATGTCACCAATTTTTTACGATAACCAAATTAAAATTCTAGAATGTCACCAAGTATTAAATTTGGCATTGAGATTATAAAGTTAGTAAGCAGAGGATCATAATGTTACCTATTATTAACATTGACATTGATGATAACGAGGTTACGTAACAAAAAATTCAAAACAACATCTATTAATGAGGCAACAATCAAGTGATCTTTGTGGTAAGCTGTTTCTAAGCTTCACAAGTTTCATCTTTCTCAGTTTTCAAGATTTGTTGACACGTTGTTGCTCTTTTTTTCCATCCCTCCTAATATAGTAAATATAGTAAATGTGGAACGGTGTTTTCTCATTGTTCCACACATTGTATTTTCTTTCCCAAAACATAACCTAAGCATGTAAAAAAATTTCAACTAAACACATTCACATCATGACAAGATGTGAAAGCACGATAATCAACCTTCCACTGTCATCTTCGTCTCATTCTTTATATTAACTTTTATTTTTAATTAGGGATGACAAAATAAACCAATTCATCTTATTTTAACTCATTTATCTCTAATCTACTAAAAATGAGATGGGATGGACTGACTCATCATAGTCAAAACAGGCCAACCTACCAATATTTTTTTAATATATAAATTTTTTATATGTATTTTTTAAAATAATATATCTCAAATTATATGAATAATTTTTAAATTTTTATTAGATAAATTTTAAAAATATTATATTTTTAAGTAAAAAAACTAATTATAATCCATCATTTAAATTTAATTAGTTATTTTTTATAATTTAAATTATAATATTATAATATATTTTAATATCAAATTATTAAAAAAAATATTTTTAATTATTTATTTATTTATTTATTTTAATTTAATATAGATATTTTTTTATAATTGGTCAATGGATCAATTTGTCAAGTCTCTTCACTTGTCAAATTGATAAGAATGAGCTAAAACAAACTAATGAACTAAATTTGTCAATAGGTTTTATCATTTTGTAGACAGACGAATTTACTCTATCATTTTTCAGGTGATGACCTGCCATTCCCAATTATTTTGTGACCTACTTTTGTTTCATGAAGAAAAAATAGGTTATACAAACTTAAAGCAATGTCAAATTTGAATTTCAAACGTTGGAACCAAAACAAAATTGGTGAAACCAATTAATATACAACATTACTTAATAATGGATTAAATTATATTTAATAATAGATAATATGTAACCTAGCATAAGAGAAGAAAATAGGATAAGTTGTTTAATTTTCCGAAGTGTTTTCTGCCTGTATATACTAACATTTCCTTTTCAACCTATCATTTATAATTAAATATAAGAATCACGGAGTAATCACAGAGTAATTATATGGGTGAATTCATATCCAAAGAAAGATAACATGTTTTCCTTCCTCTTTGCTCTCCATATTTTCAATAATGAAAGAGAATATCTTCTTCATCCAAAAGATAAATTTGAAGCTATTAAGAAATAGCAAGTTTCCTATTAATTAATTGTGATTTGTTGTTTTATATGGAAAAAAATCGGAAGCATTTTCTTCAGCTCAAGTGTATTTTATATCACTGATTGTGTGTTTTTTACCCAAATTATGGATATGAATTATAAAAATAAGATCCTCTGAGATATAGTTATGTTTAAGTCAAGACACGTGATTATAGGTTTCTACCTATCACGACAACCCAGCTGAAATAAAATTTGTTTATTTATCTTTAATTGTCATTCCAACTAATTTTAATTTTTTTTCTACTAGCTGAAAAGTTTGTATAACTCTCTTACTAATATTTGATAAACAAGATTTTTGGATTCTTAAGTAATCAATAATTGAAAATACATGTGTAATGCAGATTCTCGAGGATAAAGCAAAATTTATTAGCAATTTTTAGTCATTTCTTCTTGTGTTGTGAGCACAAGAGTGTGAAGCAAAGAGGTTTGGGATTATAATTTTGTTCCGAAGCTGGCCCAGTTCAGGCTCAATACATATCAGACCATTACAGCATGAAGCCCACAAACTTAAGGCACACACGCATAAGAGTTTTGATTCGGGCCCCATCACATTTCTGAAAACATTTGCGTAACTTTTTATTTGCGAGGAAGAGTGAAATATGATAGAAATAAATAAAATAAAGAGTATATATGAGATATGATTTTTTTTTAAAATATAGTAATATAGATGCATATAAAAATTGAAAAAAAAATTCTCTCCACTTGTTAAATGGAGGGTGTGATCACGAAAATTTTTA